TGAAATACTGAAAATATCCGATCCATTTTCTGTTGTTAACCAGAAGGATTCAGCAGAACGTATCTGACATGAAGAGAGACTGTAATCATAATCTAATCTAATCATGAAAGGGACCTACCTCAACTGGGTCATTGTGAAAGCAGCAGCGCTAGACAAACATTTCTACTTGATGTTTCAAAAGTAAAAAGGAACATTTTTAAACTGCTTTTTATTCCTGGAGCACATCCACTCAAAGGGCCAAAAGCAAGTGCTTCACTTCACCTGTTCCCACACACACACTTTCTATCACTCTCCTTTATTAAACCTTTATCAAGCTTGAAGAACACTGAAAGTCAAGTACTGGCTTCACTATTAAAATTACAGCACTTCTTGCAAAACAATCCTCAGCTCAGACGACCCCGCGGCACTTAACTGTAGCTGCTGAGTGGTCATCAGTTTATAAATATAGGATGAAAGTAAAGCTGGCTATGAATTTTAAATAGCCTTCCTCCCTTCCTTCCTTGCAACAGCTTCTCATATCTTTCGGGGGGTTTGGGCTGTTGGAGACTGGTGGGTCTCCACGGTGTAGAATCAGTCAAATATCAGACCTGGCTCAATGAGATCAGTCAGTAAGAAAGTTGATACCAATATCATGTCTATATGGTAAATATTAAGCAACAGCCAACAGTTGGTTACCTTGGCATAAAAACAGGAAATAGGGAAACAGCTAGCTCTGCTGAAAATGAACAAAATATGACAGCCAACACCTCTAAAGATCATAAATTAGCACACAATATCTTGCAGGATTTTCTTTTGTTTTTACTTTTGGACAAAGCCTAGCTGTTTCCCCATTTCCAGTTTTTATATTACAGCTATGTTTACTGGCTGCTGGCTCCAGCTCAGTGCTATCAACTACTTTCAATGGAAAGTAGCTAAAGCTAAAGCCTTTGTCGAGAGATGACATAATGCGCCAATATTCATTCTGTCTAGTCCTTTATCTATTTGCTTCCCTCCTATTCTCTGTGTTCACGCGTAGAGTGTTTTGATACAGCTGAATGTCCAATTAAGCTGTTCTCATTTACATAGTTTTCTGTTTCTGTTGTCAGACAACGGAAAGTCGCTGAAACGCAGCCCAGTAAGACTACACGTTGACCATCACTCACATCCAAGCCATGTCCAAGCTGCTGTGCTGCACTGGTAAAATCCTGATTTCATAATCTCAAGGTTGTCATTTTTGCATTACTCTTTGTGTAGCAGAGTAAAATGAGATGCAGCGTGTTAATTAATGAGGTTTATAGGTGGTAGAATCATACTTTGAACTTTCAACAGAGCCACGTTTACTACTTTCCCCTAATTTCAGTCTTTGCACTAAGATAAGCTAAACTTAGTTAAGCTAACAGCCTACTAGCATCAGGTCCGTACTTAAGGGACAGACATGACAGTGGTATCAATTCATCTCATTCCTGGCAAGAAAGTGAATGAGCATATTTCCAGTAATATTGTAATGCTTTAATAGTTCTAACTTCTAAAGTGACCAATTTCCTGTAAAAGAACATTTGAAATATTTCTCTCAAATCCTCTGTTTTAATATTGCTGATTATTTTATTTAATACATGTATTACAGTATGTGAGTAAGTCTCTGACTCACATCCTCCTCAGTCTTTCTGTGGCCCCAGGAATCCTCAAAGTTGGCTCATTAAAAATAAAATAATTTTTAAAAAGTGAGACCAAAGAACTGAGTCATCGAGTTGCTCTTTTCCCCAAGCTGAATCATTTACCCTGCAGTCATGAATGAAACCAGAGAGGTGTGGAGCACGAGAGAGAATGATAATTTGAGAATACCATCAACACACCTTGCATTCCACCATGCTAGCCCTCAGCACCTGCGTCTTTATTCTTATACCAGCAGAAAGAGACGCACCATCTCAAGTTAAGTTCATTTGTGCAGCTTTCTTAATCACAGTTACAGTCTCACAAGGCTTCCTAACGCCCACAATATAGGAACAATGAATGCATGCGATGACCCCTTCAACCTTTAGACTGTCAATGAGCAAGAAAAACTCCCACTAAAATCTTGGCCTCCAATGTGAGTAGGTGTGTGAGCGAGAGCATTTGTCTGTGTATGTAGAAGAGAGAGAGAGAGAGAGAGAGAGAGAGAATGAGAAATGCCTTTGAAAACTTTTGATGGATTTGTTTACATGTTTTAGCTTTTGGAATAAATTAGATATGGCGAAATTTATTATGTGTAGTGCTGTTGTGTGATGGTGTTTGACTTTCTGAATAATAGTTTGGTAACACTGTTTCAGATGAGCTGTTGTAAATTAAGTTGAGGGGAGAATAGATAAAGATAAAGAGAAGAAGGGAGGGGGAGCGATCTGAGAATAAAATAAGAGGAAAAGACAGAAAGTAAGTAAGAAAGAAAAACTGTGCTGATACCACAAAGAAGGGAGTATTCTGGTCATGGTGTGAAACTAAGAGCAGCACAATTTGTTTTTCTGCAGAGTGTAGATCGCAGGCTTATCACATATACCTGGTATGTGACAAGCCTGCAGACCAGATCCTAAGAGAAAGCTGAAAGAACGAGACAGAAACTCCAACTCAATGAGATGTCAAGAAACAATCTTGGCTTTACCTGCACATTTGTAGGTGTGTGTGTGTGTGTGTGTATGTGCGTGTGTGAGTACAATAGAGAAACAATGAGTCTGCATGTGTGTGCACAAACTTCATAAATCTTCACTAAAATAAACACAATTTGAAACAGCTGCACAGTTTTTGCCAGTTAATGACAGTGATGTAGCTTTATAGCCTCATGATATTGCCCCCATTTGTTCAGAGGGAGCTATCAGAGACTGAACAAGTGCCTTAAAAACACACACTCATCTCAATGTATTTCCAGTGGCTGTAGTTCGAAGATAGTCAAATAAAAGGATGAAAGAAGTGAGTGAGTCATTTATCAAGCGTTTAACACAACGAGAGGTTTGTGGGGAAACAATTGAATTCATCATCCAACCCTTGACTTACACTGTAATTAGTAAATTGTCATTAAAAGGAGAAAAGAGTTTCGTTGCTTAAATGGCACTGACAACTTTAGCAGGTACGATGGTAAAAATTTAGGAAGCTGCTACCATTTTGGTAATTTGACCATATGCACTCTGTTAAAATTTTCACTCATAAGAAATACTCACACACCTGTGTTCAATACAATAACAGGTGCAAACTTGTAATCCAACACTTAGTCATATTTATTTATTTTTTTACTTGAGTCCATTTTCCAGCACAACTACAACACTGTTACTACAAACTCTTGAATCGTCACTGCAAGTTCACAGATGTGCCCTCCCGCATCACAAAGTGACAAATGTGCATGCCTTCACTTTTTCAACACTAATTGCCATAACTGTGTTAAAAAAAACTTGCACTTGTAGCTGTGGAAGTGAGAGAGCAGAGCAGAGCAGGGAGGGTGGGTGGGGGTCTTTCGGTAAAGCTAAACTAAGCTATGCCTCCTACCTTCAGCTCCATACTTAAGGGACAGACCTGACAGTGGCATCGATTCTCTAATGTAATTCTTAGAAAGAAAGAGAATAAGAATATTTATATTTTTATTTTTATAAGTGTCGTACTAATGCTTTAATACTTCTAAATTTAAAATTTTCAAATTTCCTGTAAAAGGGCAAATTTCACATATTTCACATTTAAAGTCCTTATATTTTATATAAAAGCTTCCTGGCTCTAGCTTCATGCTTAGTGTGCAGGCTTTTGAGTGGTATTGTTACATCCACTGATGTTCTGGTGTGTTTTGTTCTCCAAGTGTGTTGTTTTGTTCTCTCAGTGTGTTGCAGGTCTGTCATGCCCTCCCCTTAAGGTATCATTCTTCTCATTATAACTATCTGCAAGACATTTACCAACATGCCGAACTATTTTTAAGCACTCTAAATTTAGCCATTAAAGAGCAAATGCCCCTCATAAAAAAATAGCCTTGTTCAATGTTATCATTTGTGCCATTTCAGATGAGTAAGTGGTTTTTTGGGGTGGAGTTAAGCTTCTGTTACATCAGCATAAGTGATGACTTCTGAGCTTTTTTTTTTAGGTGATGCAATATTATGCATAGTCTGCTTAGGATATCAGTGTCTAAATTATTGAGTGTACGTATGGATAATAGCCTTAGTGTGTGTAATCCATCATACGTCATCATGTATTGTTGGATTTCCTCATTCAGGCTGATATACTTTAGGCCATATGTTACAGCACGAGCTCCAATTACAAAGTCCACTGTACCTATAAATCCCACTAGAGCTATAGCTAGTGAAACGGGGTGCCATATGGGCATAGATGCCATAATACGCCAAAAGCGACTGCACTGGACTCTGGGAAGAAAAAAAAAAGCAAAATCAAATTTAAAGATTTAAAGCAACTGGATGAAGTTGAGTTTCAGGCCGTAACCCATTTGCTTGTGGGGCTTTTAATCCTAACTTTAATCTAGATTACATCCACATCTGGCATGTCCCTGCGTGCCTCCACATCCCTCTTGGACCCCATGGTGTGGCTGACCACTCTTAGCCCCACCCATTTTGGAGGCCACCCCAGAATTTGACACCAAATGAGAGAATTGATTTGTCCCAGACCTGAAGACGTAGCATTAAGCAGACCTTCTTTGGTTGCAATGCATTACAGAAGATCCCCGTCTACAAACCTAAGATTTGTAGAGACGTGGCACCCTTCCAGGGTGGTGTAATTGTGCACATGAAAACAAGGAGGTGATGTAAGAAGGGGATTGTCACAGAATTGTTGTTCTCAGAATACTTATCTGTGTGTGTCTGGCTCAGACAGCTGTTTCTGTTTCTTCTTCTCTCAGAAATGTTCATCTGCAGGATTCTGATTGAGCATCCTGGCCAAGGAGATTAGACCGCCATACCGAGAACAAACCAAAAAAACTACAGCCCAGAAAATGGATTTCTCTCAGATTACCAGGAGAGCTTTTATTTGGAGCATTGCAAAGTACATTTCATGGTTGTTAGCGCTCATTCTCTTTCACTCATACACTTGCAAGCATGCTGTCTTTCTCTCCATCCTTTCATTTCTTCATCAGCTGATTAAAAAAAAACAGTTTGGACCATAACTTCTGCAACATCTTCACTCAGTTTACCTGGAGTTCATAGTAGAGAATGGAGACACAGTCACCTCTTTGAGTCCAAGCATACAAACATACATGAGAGAGAGATGGATATACATCTTATATGAGCCAAAACTATCAGTTTGTTTATATTTCTTCTCAGAACATGGCTTCAAGCTTCTCAGAATTAAAGTAAGAGAGGAGCACATCTTTAAATTCTTGAAAAACTAAAAGTTGCAGTTGGACTTGTAAGTATTTTCACAGTGGAAGGAAAAGCAACTTTGGACTGAATATTGCATGTTTATGGAAGCAGCCGTATATACTAATATTGCTGCAGTGGCTTTCTGGCCCGTCAAACAAACTGGACCGTCCAATTTAAAGGGTTTAAAGTCTGTCAGTTTCTGTGCAGTCAGCAGTGTGCACACTTGTGCTCCTTATCATCAGACTGAAGAGCAAAGGAAATGTTTGTTTAATCTCCTTTGATCCAATGCAACACAGATGCTTCACAACCATGTGGGGAGTGAGACTATTGGAGCAACAGTCATTGGCAGTACTTTTACAGTACTTTTACAGCAAGACAGAGATTAACAGACTCATATGTTCTTGGAAGTTTTTGGACTGAGTCAATCATCGCGAGTACTGTTCAGAAAGCTGCTGCTGGAAGGCTGTGGTTATTATTTCCTGCAGCTTCACCGCCTTTCCCCAGCAGAGCCAGAGACTCCAGTGAGTGCACACTATCCTTGTCTAGACGTAATCCCAGTCCAGTTGGAGCTGAGTCGAACCCTCCTCCTTCACTTCCCGCCTCCTGCAGCTCCCCGGTGGCAGCGGCAGCAGCAGCGGCAGCACACTCCTCTTTGAACAATCGGTCATGCTCCATCTTGAGCTCTTGGTAGGAGCGGGAGAACATGTGGAAGATGGATGTAGCAGGGAAGGCCATGATGAGGATCCCACTGAGGATGCTGCTCAGTGCTACAACCTGTCCTGGAATGGACCGTGGCACCATGTCGCCGTAGCCTACCGTCGTCATGGAGATAATGGCCCACCAGTAGGAGGCAGGGATGCTGCTGAAGTCATGGGCACCCGTGAGCTCACTCTCAGCCAAGTGGACCAGCGGGGAGAAGAGGGTGACAGCCACGCAGAGGAAAAGCAGAAGGAGGCCGAACTCCCGGGTGCTGCGTCTGACCGTCAGCCCGAGCGTCTGCAGGCCAAGAGAGTGGCGAGCCAGCCGCATCACGTAGAGAATCCTCAGCGCCCGCAGGATCCTCAACACCAGGCCCAGCTTGTCCAAGTAGCCCTTACCTCCTCCTGGCCTCTCGTGCTCCAGGGCTGGGTCTTCCTCTTTCACCACCAGGGAGACGTAGTAGGGAAGGATGGCCATGGCGTCGATGATGTTGAGTGGCCCACGGAGGAAGTCCAGCTTGCTGCGGGCCTGAATGAACCGCAGGATGAACTCCAGGGAGAACCAGGCTACACACACCGTCTCTATGATGAACATGTTGTAGCACTTGGAGGAACATTCACCCTGAGGTAGAGAGGAAAGGAGGGAGGGAGGGTTAGGCAGGAAGCAAGACGGATGGGGAAGAGGGCATGGGGAGATGGAGAGAAGACAAAAATCCTGAGGTCAGATAATCACCCTCGATAATCATTAATAAATCATGAGCTACTGTCGCTCAGTATGCTAAAGCTACTGCAGCAGCACTGATAGATAATACAGTGACACAATCAATCAATTATTTCATTAGGGCAGGTTTCAAAGATTAATATGACACTCAGTGGGAGAGGTGACAGAAAGCAATCAGGCTTGTATGCCCTCTAACCACAGTACCAAGGAAGAGCAATGCAATAATAAAAACCCCTATGTGACAATACAGAGGAGATTTTGGAGGATTTTGGAGCAGAAAACTACTCTCTTCAAAGCTTTTGTCCCATGGCATCACATAAAGTTCTTTATTCCACCTCCTCACACTTCCAAATCCCACTGCAGAAAATTTAAATATAAGCAGTTAATCTGCTTCTAATTATTTTTTGATGCATAAGAAAAAAGAGATCTAATTGCACTGGTTTATAAAGCAGCAACCACCACTGAACAAAGACACTGAGTACATTTCCTTAAAAAGTTGATGCAGGCTCCAGAAAAACTCAAGGTGTTGGATTCAGTTTGAAAATACAGAGCTCACCTGGAAATAAGTTTGTTTCCACAAGTCACAGTCTCAATAGATAATTTAATACTTCTAATGTTTGTCCTGTTCGCACAATGAAAGTTATTGTTGCATTAAAAGAATATTTATTCATTTTGGAAGTGTTTGCCTAAGTCATTGGGTCTCTTAAGACAAGGATGTACTTGAAACAAACTTTGTATAGTAAAATTTGTATAGGTTATTCCAAGTTTTATCCCTGAATCTGTCACCCTTGACTCATTTTAGAATTTCTGCCTGATCAGTTGTTGATATATGGACGTTTTAAGGTGGCCATGATACCAGATTAATTGCCTGAATTATTATTTTATTGAATAAACTTTAGTTAAATTGTCACAGGACAAAACTTTCTATCATTGTCATGTTTAAAATAATAAATACTTGACTAAGGTTAATGAACAAACATGTCATGATTAAAAGAACCCAGGCCTTGAGTGTCATGGATGGACTGCGATCAGTGGTCTTCCCAGTCAAAGTTAGACATTTTTTTAATAAATGCATTCACCCCAGCCACCTTCCTTCAGTGGACCTTGTAGCTTTACAATATCACTCTACCTCCTCCTTTTCTCCTCCTGGAGAACAGCCATGAGAGCCACTGGAGGTCTTTGTCACTTGAAGATAAACATATTTCATTACTGGGCATTTTCTGAAACAACTGATGCTGTCATTTTTCTTGGGAAGACAGCCACCTCAGGCTACACCCTGTTGTCCTTCTGGATTTTCTGGCTGCTGCTACTGACAAAGATGCCGAAGAGTGACAAACACACTCAAGGCCTTAAAATGTCCCTTCAGCAACGCAGAAACAGACAATGCGTCCATATTTCTGTCTCCTCTGTTTCTCAGGTAGATCAAAGATGTTCTTAGGTCCTTTTCTCGAGCGATTGCTTTTTTCCTATGTTGTGCAAGTGAAACTGCAACAGAAAACATTATAATGCTGAATATGAGACTACATGACATTATATTTATTATGAGGTGGACATCACTTGTTTTTTTCCTCTCAGCCTCTTCTTTCATTAGCGTCTCCTCATTTTCTCCACTTTTCTCACTGTTCACTCTTCACATTCATCTCTGTGCTCACACTCTCATCTATTTTCTTTCCCTCATCCTTCTTTTCTCTCTCTGCCACCCTCTCCTTTCTCCTCCTGCCTCTGTCTCCACCTTCTCATCACTCATTCTGTTTTCTCCTCCATCTCCCTCTCTAGACTCCCTCCCTCTCATCCTTCATTCTGTGTTTTCCCCTCACACTGTTCTCTTTCTGCTTTAACTCCTTCATTCATTCAGTGTTCCTCTGAGAGAAACACAACTCCTTTCCACTGTTTCTCTATGCATAAGGCATTCTTCACAAACGTGTACCTTTCCTCTCCCTCTCATTTATCACTCGTGTCCATTCTGCCTTGCTCACTGATTACTCATTCTACTGTGACTCTTAGCCTTTCACCTCATTCCTACAGTGACATCTATCTGCATATCTCCTTCATGCTTTTAAGTGTAAATTACAGCGACACCGGTGGTAGAGATAATAGTAGAAGTCACGGTCTGTATCTGTCCCATTATAAGAGCTACAATCGTCAACGTTTTTTGACTTTTTTGCCTTACTATACTATGACATTTTTTGCAGTACCATACTATGATGTTTTTATGCCTTACTATACTATGACGTTTTATGACATTTTTATACCTTACTATACTATGACATTTTGTGACATTTTAATACCTTACTGTAGTATGACGTTTTATGCCATTTTTATGACTTACTATACTATGACGTTTTTTGACATTTTCATACCTTACTATACTCTGATGGTTTTTGAATTTTTTTGTCTTATTATACTATGCCGTTTATATGCCTTAGTGTACTATGACTTTTTATGGCATTTTTGGCTTACTATACTATGACATTTTATTCCATAGTATACTATAACATTTTTGGCAATTTTATGCCTTACTCTGCTATGACGTTTTATGCTGTTTTTTTGCCTTGCTGTACTATGACGTTTTTTTTTAGCATTTTTTGCAATATTATACTGTGACGTTTTTATGCCTTACAATAATATGATGTTTTTTGAAATTTTTATGCCATACTATACTATGACGTTTTTTGTCATTTTTATGACTTATTATGCTATGACGTTTTTTGCCTTTTTTTGCCTTACTGTACTATTGCATTTTTATGCCTTACTATACTCTGACATTTTATGCCATAGTATACTATAACATTTTTGGCAATTTTATGCCTTACTCTGCTATGACGTTTTATGCTGTTTTTTTGCCTTACTATACTAAGGCGTCTTTATGCCTGACTATACTATGACGTTTTTGACATTTTTTGCAATACTATACTATGACGTTTTTATGACTTACTTGACTATGATGTTTTTTGCCTTTTTCATGCCTTACTATACTATGACGTTTTTATGCCTTACTATACTATGACATTTTTTTGACATTTTATGCCTTACTATACTATGACGTTTTTATGACTTAATTGACTATGACGTTTTTTTGACATTTTATGCCTTACTATACTATGGCAGTTTTATGCCTTACTACACTATGACGTTTGTTGACATTTTTTGCAATACTATGCTATGGCATTTTTATGACTTACTTGACTATGATGTTTTTTTGCCTTTTTCATGCGTTACTATACTATGACGTTTTTTGACATTTTTTGCAATACTATACTATGACATTTTTAAAACTTACTATACTATGACGTTTTTTGACATTTTCATACCTTACTATACTATGACGTTTTTTTGACATTTTTTGCCTCACTGTACTATGATGTCTTTGTGCTTCACTTTACTCTGATGTTTCTAAAATTGACAGCTGACAGGCTTGAGGGTAGTACAGTGGTTAGAAAGGTTGCCTTTCATTCCAAGCGCTGTTGGGGGTTGCGAATCTCATCTTGGGACATCTTGTGTGGAGTTTACACATTATCTCCTTTCCTGAAGGCTTCCCCAGATGGACAAACTCCATCTATAGTATGAAATTTTATGTCATATTTTACTATAACATATTTGGCAATTTTATGCCTTATTATACTATGATGTTTTATGACATTTTTTGCAATACTAAACTATGACGTTTTATGTGTTACTATACTATGATGTTTTCAAAACTTACTATATTGTTACTAGCTTAGAGGGTTGAGGCTAGTACAGTGGTTTGCAGGTTTGCCTTTCATTCCAAGGGTTGTTGGTTCAAATCCATCTTGGGACATTTTGTGTGGAGTTTGCATATTATCTCCATCCATGAATGGTTCTCTGCAAACTCCAGCTATAGTATGACATTTTATGCCATAGTATACTATAACATTTTTGGCAGTTTTATGCCTTACTATGCTATGACGTTTTTGACTTTTTTGCAATACTATAATATGATGTTTTTATGACTTACCTAACTATGATGTTTTTTGACTTTTTCATGCCTTACAATACTATGACGTGTTTTTTTTTTTACATTTTTTGCCTCACTGTACTATGATGTCTTTGTGCTTCACAAAACTCTGATGTTTGTAAAATTTACTATAATGTTAACTGCTGATAGGCTTCAGGGTAGTACAGTGGTTAGAAGGTTTGCCTTACATTCCAAGGGCTGTTGGTTCGAATCCCATCTTGAGACATCTTGTGTCGAGTTTGCACATATCTATCCCTTGCTGATTCCCCTCTACAAACTCCCTCCGTAGTATGACATTTTTGGTAATTTTATGCCTTATTATACTATGATGTTTTTTGACATTTTTTGCAATACTATACTAAGACGTTTTATGCTTTACTATACTATGACGTTTTTTTTTTTACATTTTTTGCTTTCACTATACTCTGATGTTTCTAAAATTTACTATAATATTACCAGCTCATAGGGTTGAGGGTGGTACGGTGGTTAGAAGGGTTACCTTTCATTCCAAGGATTTTTGGTTCGAATCCATCTTGGGACATTTTGTGTGGAGTTTGCACATTATCTCCGTCACTAAATGGTTCCCCTCTACAAACTCCAGATGTACAATGACATTGTATGCCATATTATACTTTAACATTTTTGGCAATTTTATGCCTTACTATAGTATGACGTTTTTTGACATTTTCACATCTTACTATACTCTGATGTTTTTGACACATTTTGCCTTATTGTGCTATGACTTTTTTGCCTTGTTATACTCTGATGTTTTCATGCCTTACTATACTATAAAATTTTTTGAAATTTTTTGCCTTACTATGAAAAAAAACAAAATAAAAAAAGGATAAATATTATGACGTTTTCTGCTGTTTTTATGACTTACTATGCTATGACCTTTTTTGACTTTTTTGCCTTACTATACTAA